GGCAGGGAGCTGGAATATCACAAGTAGGAAGAAAAAAGCCGGTCCATGATGGAATTGTATTTTCTTTTTTTGTTCCTTTTTTGTTTTTTTGTGTTTTTTTGTTTTGTTTTGTTTTGGGAATTGTATTTTCTTTGTTTTTTTTTTAAAGATTTTATTTATTTATTTGAGAGAGAGAGAATGAGAGAGAGCACATGAGAGGGGGGAGAGCCAGAGGGAGAAGCAGACTCCCTGCCGAGCAGGGAGCCCGATGCGGGACTCGATCCCGGGACTCCAGGATCATGACCTGAGCCGAAGGCAGTCGCTTAACCAACTGAGCCACCCAGGTGCCCGGGAATTGTATTTTCTTAACAATATATTTTTTTCAAGTAAAAGTTTTCCAATTTAAGTACAGTTGACTCTCGAACAACAAGGGTTTGAACTGCACAGGTCCAATTATATACAGATTTTGTTTTTAATAAATACAGTACAGTAAATGTATTTTCTCTTCCTTTAATTTTCTTTTTTTTTTAAAGATTTTATTTATTTATTTGACAGAGAGAGAGATAGTGAGAGCAGGAACACAAGCAGGGAGAGCGGGAGAGGGAAAAACAGGCTTCCCGCCAAGCAAGGAGCCCAATGCGGAGCTCCATCCCAGGACCCTGGGATCATGACCCCAGCCGAAGGCAGACGTTTAATGACTGAGCCACCCAGGTGCTCCTTCCTTTAATTTTCTTAATAACATTTTCTTTTCTCTACCTTACTTTATTGTAAAAATACAGTATATAATTCATACAACATAAAAATGTGTGTTAATCAACTGTTTATGCCATTGATAAGGCTTCTGGCCAACAGTAGGCTGTTAATGGTTAAATTTGGGGGGAGTTAAAAGTTAAATGCAGATTTTTCAACTGCGTGGGCGGTTAGCACCCTTAACCCCTGTGTTGTTCAAGGATCAACTGTATGTAATGAATACTAGATTGTATATCCCTGGCAATGTTGAGAGTCTCATGATTTGAAGTTTAAGAAGTTAATTATAATCATTCTCATCTTTTTTCATGTGCTAATATGCACAATTATTTTTGCTTAAAGTAATATAAGCAGATGTTAGTATCCTTATTAGTAAAATATACCCATTTAGAAAACTGAAATGCTTTTAGAAGAAAAGTTTTAATATCTCAAAGATATAGGAAGGATTCTGTAGTGTCTTAACGTGACCATATCCATAAAACACATGCTTTTTCTGATTATGAAATAAGTTGTTGAAGATATTTTCAGAAATACTCATTGTCTCAGACATGTTCACTGTCTCATCCTGTACCTGAATATTAAGTAGCTTGAAAGGTATTCTCACTTGCTTGTAATTCAGTGCAGGAAAGCTGCTTATCAAAGTATGATGCCCTAGTGTCATGAAAGAGTTAGAATAGGTTCCAAAATTTCAATAGGTTAAACTTTGGTGAAAGGATCAGGAGAGTATATAATTTGAAAGAATTCATGCTTCATCTGCTATATCTTCATGTTGAACTTTTGATGCTGTTTGACGTTATTTCCCAAGTTAGAACCAACATACTGTTAACAGAACACAACACTGCCTTCCAGGGGAGTGAGTCACACTCTGAGCAGAGACATTGCTGCAAAAAAGGTATATGAATCTCCACAGCTTCCAAATAAAATCAACTGCAGAAGAAATAGGTTTGAAGTGCACAACATTTCTTGTAAAACTAAAAAATTAAATCAAAAATTAAAAACTGAATTAAAATTAAAATTTTAGATTTTAAAATTAAAACTGAAAAGTTAGTGTCTTTCTGAATGCAAGAACAAATTAGTAAAATAATGCCCCAGTCAAAAAATAGTAAAGAATACCTGTTTCTAACTTCTTTCTGTCTCTTCTGGGTGAGTATTTTGAAGCTAGAAAAGTGAAATACACTATATTAAATGGAATTTAATAATAACATCTGCCTTAACCTGACATTATAAAAGAATAAATAGGGCAAATGAAAGGTATTGGTGAGAAGGCCTTTCTTAATGAAATGGTCATCCTAAGGTCCCTCTACCCTCAATCGCTGTGAAAGAAACTTCGAGTCTCATTTACATCACCATGCATGTTAACTGGTTCCTAGTCGGTCTTTTATCAAGCTTATGGGGAGGGGAGGAGTGTCTGCATTTTTTTTTTTTAACAAATGTATTCTTTTTTTTTAAGATTTTTTTTTTTTAATTTATTTATTAGGGAGAGAGAGCGCAAGAGGGGGAAGGGTTAGAGGGAGAAGCAGACTCCCCGCTGAGCAGGGAGCCCGATGTGGGACTCGATCCCGGGACTCTGGGATCATGACCTGAGCCGAAGGCAGTCGCTTAACCAACTGAGCCACCCAGGTGCCCGAGTGTCTGCATTTTTGAGGCTACTTGCATTCCTTGATTTTCGTAGAATAATAAGACAATGGAATTAATATTGGCTAAGGATTGAATCAGAATTTAAAACTGTACACTTCCACTATCCAAAGAGCTAAATTTCAATTACATCAATCTGTTTATTTTAATTTTCAAACATATGGACACCTCTTACACACATGAATGTTAAAAGAATTCACTGAATTTGTCTGAAAGATAAAGGCAATGTATAAGATGATAGCAAGGCAAATCAAACAACACCCAAATACAGTGAATGATTTTAGACTTAGACTTTCAACTCAACAATTTGGAAAACATTGCTAAACATGATATTTGGCATGAAGTTTCAGAGGACACTTCAAGTTCTAGTAATACCACCCATGAGCAATGTGACATTTATTTAACATTCCTAGATCCCTGTCCTTACTGGAAAATGAGGATAAAGTTCTACCTCACAGAATCATCTTGAAAATCAAATGAGATATTTGATTATCGAGACAAGGAATGGGTGTGAAAATTGCATATACTAGCAATTTCATAAATTGCAAACACATTGCCAAATACACGGTGATTATGGGTACATTTTATTTTTTTGTGCCAAAGGAACATAAAATTTGATTAATTATAATTTTTAATTCATAGTACACATTCATCATTGGTCCAGGCTTAGCCCACCTTTATTTAGTTGATTGATTACTTAGTTGGCATTTTTAATAATGTAGTAAACATTCATGAAATCACCACTCGAAACATAAGCTAGTGCCATGGTAACAATTCACATCCAGCCACATAGTCCCTTCTACCACCTCCTCCCTCCCCGCTAAATCCCATGTTCATCATTCCTATGCTTTTTTTCCTTAAACAGTCAGATTAGTTTGTGTATTTTTTCTTATCTTTAATAAAAATTTGTTTATATTCTTTGGTAATTATATAAATAATGATCCACAAATAATGACAGTTTTATTCTTCCTTATGCCTCCAATTTCTTTTTCTTATCTTATGGAACTAGCAGCTGCAGAAAATGTTGAAAGCCTCAAAACTGATGAACTAAGTATCTGTGGTAAGATTCTAGCAAATAAACAACAAAACAAACCCATGAAAAGAAGAAAATAATTTAAATAGTAGTCATTGTAATGACCACATCTTTATGCCTACATTTTAAAGATTACACCTGACTGAGAAAAACTGAAGCAATCCTAAGAGAACTTCCACAGACTCCCGCCACCACCTTTACCCACCTAAATTAGTTTGCTGGGACTGCCATGACTAAATGGTTTAAACAAGAAACATGTATTGTCTTGCATTTCTTCAGGCTAGAAGTTCATGATCAGGTACGTACAGTTTTGATTTTGTCCAAGGCCTTTCTCCTTGACTTGCAGATGGTTGCCTTCTCCCTGTGTCTTCACATGTTCTTTTCTTTTTGCCTACACACCTTTGGTGTTGCTTTTCTCCTCTTCTTATAAGGACACCAGTCATATTGGATTAACGCCTCACCTTTATGACCTCATTTTTACCTTACTTACCTCTTTAAAGACCCTATCTCCAAATACAGTCTCATTCTGAGGAACTGGGACTAGGCTTTCAACATATGAATTTGGGATTGGAGGGGGACACATGATTCAGCTTATAACACCATCTATGAGTATATGTATCCCAAATGATACTTTTATGCTCCTTCTGCTGGGTAGATTTGGTCCCACATCAAGGTACACAGTGTGGCTACATTTCAGCTCCCCAACTCTGTCAGGTAGACAACATTGAGCAGAGCACAACCTACACATCTATAGTTTATGGTCCAGTGTGTAACCAAATATTCTGCTTCCCACCAGCTAGTATAGAAGGATACTCTGTGCTCCTATCTAAAGCTGACTCATCCACTTGTGCATTTGACCTTTTAGTCTTTTGCATAAAACTGGAGGGTAAGATGAACCATGAGAGACTATGGACTCTGAGAAACAAACTGAGAATTTTAGAGGGGAAAGAGGTGGGGGTTGGGTCAGCCCGGTGATGGGTATTAAGGAGGGCACGTATTGCATGGAGCACTGGGTGTTATATGAAAACAATGAACCGTGGAACACTACATCAAAAACTAATGATGTACTGTATGGTGACTAACATAACATAATAAAATAAAATAAAATTTAAAAAAATAAATAAATTAAATAAAACATGGTCAGAGGATTTAAATAGACATTTTCCCAAAAAGACATACAGATGAGCAACAGGCACATGAAAAGATGTTCAACATCACTCATCATCAGGGAAATGCAAGTCAAAACCACAGTGAGCTATCACCTCACACCTGTTAGAATAGCTATTATCAAAGAAAAAAAAAACCCAGAAATAATAAGTACTGGCAAAAATGTGGAGAAAAGAGAACCCTCATTTACTGTTGGTGGGAATGTGAACTGGTTCAGCCACTATGGAAAACAGTATGGAGTTTCCTCAAAAAATTAAAAATAGAAATACTGTGGCGCCTGGGTAGTGCAGTTGGTTGAACGTCCGACTTTTGGCTCAGGTCATGAAATCGAGCCCCATGTCAGGCTCCACATTCAGCCCAGAGTCTGCTTGAGATTCTCTCTCCCTCTCTTTCTGCCCTTCCCACTCATGCTCTCTCTCTCTCTCATAAATAAATAAATCTTAAAAAAAAAAAAAAAAAAAAAAACAGAACAACCATATGATTCAGCAATCCCACTTCCGGGTATTTATCTGAAGAAAACAAAAACACTAATTTGAAAAGATAGATGCACCACTATGCATAGTGCATCATAATTTACAATAACCAAGATACAGAAACAACCTAAGTGTTCACTGATAGGTGAATGGATAAAGAGGATGTGGTATATATATGAACAATGGAATATTACACAGCCATCAAAAAGAACGAAATCTTGTCATTTGCAACAACATGGATAGACCTTGAGGGTATTATGCTAAGTGAAGTTAAGTAAGACAGGGAAAGACAAATACCATATGATTTCACTTTCGTGTGGAATCTAAAAAACAAAACAAAACAAGAACTCATAGATAACAGAGAACAGACTGGTGGTTGCCAGGGGGGTGGGGGGAGTAAGGAGGTGGGTAAAATGGGTGAAGGGGATCAAGAGCTACAAAGTCACAGTTATAAAAAGCATAAGTCATGGGGATATAATATACAGCCTGGTAACTATAGCTAATAATATTTTATTGCATATTTGAAAGTTGCTAAGAGAGTAGATCTTGAAAATTCTCATCCTAAGGTTAAAAAAAGAAAAAATTTCTAACCCTTCATGGTGATGATCATAACCAGACTTATTGTCTTAATCATTTCTCAGTGTACACCAATATCAAATAATTATGCTGTATATCTTAAACTAATATGATGTTATATGTCAGTTATACTTTAATAAAATAATATTTCCAGAAAAGGGCAGAAATAATATAGGATGGTTAAGCATTTGCTACTACTTATACTTTAATCGAATTGTCTGTTCTTTTTTGAACAGTTACTTGTGTTTTCTAGTAATAATTTGTTATACATAGCTCTTCGGGTTTCTTGATACTTAGAACAAAATTCAGGTAAACTGTAAAAAAAAATTTTTTAAGATAGGGGGGTGAGAGATATCCAGGTGGGCCTGACCTAATCACATGATAGCTTTCTCCAGCTGATCTCAGAAAAAGAAGTCAGAAAGTTGAAGTATGAAAGGAATTCAACATGAGGGAAATTTTCCATTTCTGAAGGTGAAGGCCGTGGAGCAAAGACTTGACAGTGGCCTCTCGTTGCTGAAAGCGGCTCCCACCTGACAGCGAGCAAGGGAACAGGGATCTCAGTCCAACCACCACAAGATACTGAATTCTGCCAACAACTTAAATGAGACTAGAAGTGGATTGCTCCCCAGGGCTTTCAGACAAGAACTCAGCCTTACCAACCCCTTGATTACAGTCTTGTGAAATCCTGAACAGAGAATCCAGCCATACACCGCTTGCCTTCTGCCCTAAAAAACAGTAAGTGGGTGTTAATTTGAATCCACTCCACTTCCGGTAATTTGTTACACAGGAAAAAGGCAGGGTGAAAGAGAGAGAGACAGAGAGGAAGGAAGAAAGGAACAAAGGAAGGAACGAAGGAAATACAAATGTGTATCAGACACTCCAAGTTCAACATTTCCAAAACTGACCTCTTGATCTTTCTCCAAATTGGCTTCACCTCATTCTTCCCCATCTTCATTGACGGTACCTCCTTCCTTCAGTTGTGCAGGCCAAACACCTATTAATCCTTGGCTCCTCTCTTTCTTTCACAAACCACATCAGAATTGTCAGGAAGTCGTGCCGGCTCTGCTTTCAAAATACATCCAGGTCACAATACTTGTTACCACCTCTTCTGCTACTTTTGTCCAAAACCCCTTTATCCCCTCTCACATATCAGACGGCAACGGCCTTTTCGTTGGACCCTCCTGCTTCCCCCTTACCCAGGGTCTGCTCTCGGCACAGTGGCCAGAGGAACCTTTGTAAACCCGGAAGTCAGCTTATGTAACTCCACTGCTCACAAAGCTTCGAAGAGTCCTCGTTTTACTAAGAGTAAGCACTTATGACAGCAAAGAGAGAAACAGGCTTCCCGTCCTGCTACTAGTATTCTGAAGAGGCAAAAAAAAAAAAAAAACAAGGAAAGAGATATTTGAACAGCAGTTCCAACAGAGTATAATTTTACTGCCAACCACAGTTCTCTTTTCATTGGACAAATTTATAAACAAACCCAGGAAAAGTTCCTGATTCTCGCAACACTCTCGAATTTTCTGAGAACAGTAAAAGGCCTAGACGTTCTCTGCTTTGAAATCTTCCATTGGAAACTGTTGTGATTTTTTCATTTTTTTAAGTTGGAGCTCGTTTCCAGCACCTCTGCCATTTCCCAGCCTCAGGACCCTGGCAGGTCGTGTTGGCCTCTGAGGCTCAAAGTCTCCTCTGGAGGGAAGTTTGCGAGGCCTGTCCTGCCCAATCCATGGGGCCACTGTAACAATTAACTGAGATTCTCACGCTTGGGGAACACGTTCTAATGAAAGAGCTCTGTGCATAGGTACATCCTTATTTATAACAAAACGACTTAGCGGATCCCTGGTGCATGAGTGGCTTCTCAGGACTTCATCACTCCTCCCGCAGCCAATGAACTTCCCTATAAAATTACAAAAATTTCCAGACCCACAGGTGACCCTTAGGCTTGGGTGCTCATTGCTTACCCTGTGACCAAGTAATGAAGAGCAAATTGTGGCTCGTAAATTTTTAGAGCTGTCTCTTTCCTGCAGAATTTGAAACTAAGGTGGAAAGGGGGATTGGCGCTGGTTGGTAAATACAGCCATTCCTTCCTCTGGCATGGAATCCCAGCATTCACATGTCAGCTAGTATTACAGCACATGTCAGCTTCTGCCTTTCCTCATTTCCACATCCCCAGCCTTGCTGAGGAAAAAAAGAAAGAAAGAAAGAAAGAAAGAAAGAAAGAAAGAAAGAAAGAAAGAAAGAAAGAAAGGAAAGAAAGAAAGAAAGAAAGAAAGAAAGAAAGAAAGAAAGAAAGAAAGAAAGAAAGAAAGAAAGAAAGAAGAAAGAAGAAAGAAAGAAAGAAAGAAAGAAAGAAAGAGAAAGAAAGAAAAAAGGAAGAAAGAAGAAAGGAAGAAAGAAAGAAAGAAAGAAAGAAAGAAAGAAAGAAAGAAGAAAGAAAGAAAGAGAAAGAAAGAAAGAAAGAGAGAGAAAGAAAGAAGAAAGAAAGAAAGAAAGAAAGAAAGAAGAAAGAGAAAGAAAGAAAGAAAGAAAGAAAGAAAGAAAGAAAGAAAGAGAAAGAAAGAAAGAAAGAAAAAAAGAAAGAGAAAGAAAGAAAGAAGAAAGAAAGAAAGAAGAAAGGAAGAAAGAAAGAAAGAAAGAGAAAGAAAGAAAGAAGAAAGAAAGAGAGAGAGAGAGAAAGAAAGAAGAAAGAAAGAAAGAAAGAAAGAAAGAGAAAGAAAGAAAGAAGAAAGAAAGAAAGAAAGAAAGAAAGAAAGAAAGAAGAAAGAAAGAAAGAAAGAAAGAAAGAAAGAAAGAAAGAAAGAAAGAAAGAAAGAAAGAAAGAAAGACAAAACAACCCTAAGAGAGAGCAGAGCAATGGTCCCATGGAGAAGTGGCATTGTAGGAATGTGCAGGAATGTGCTGAATGAAGGTGCCTGGTAAGTAACTGTGGTAGCTAAGCGTTCAGCAGTGAGCTGTTCCTGGCCCGTCACACTTCCTGTGGCACAGCCATCACGGGGGCTCTACTTCCCAGCGTGATTCAGGCACTATGACAGACATTACAGAGAAAACACAGCCCCTGGAAGAGAAGTCTGAAGAGCCAGTAGGAGAAATTCTTAGAAGAATGAGCTATTAGAATAGTCTCAAGAAGCCATGTTTTTGATTCTGATAGACCACATCATGCCCACCACAGAAGAACTCAAAACAGAGCGAATCTTCATAAATCTTTTCACAAGGCTTATTGTTCTTTCACACACCCCTCACCTCTGAGCTTTGTCTATGGTGAGAGCTTCGTGTAGACTTGCTATGTGAGGTTATCTTCTGTTTCTCTCCAAAGTCCGTGTTCTGCCTTCTGGACCATGATCTCTAACTGGGAGGCCAATCCATGTGAAACTGATGAGTTTCCTATGACTTCTAGTTGGGCCCAGCCAAAGGGGATCATTACCAGATGAGCAGAAGGAAAAGGAGAGTAAGATCTCGGGCTGTATTCCCCCCCCACACACACACCTTGCATTCTCGCACTGGGGGCACCTCAGGCTGCTGTGTCCCTCAACCAAGGTCACTATTCATCTCAAGGCATTACCTCTCCCCAGTCCTCAGGTCTCCATGTCCCCCATCTTGTCCCTTTGCGTCTAGGGATTGTGACAGCTCTCCTATTAATGGCCCTGAAAATACTGCTCTATCCCTTGTCACTTCCCTACACCATCACCACAGCTTTATAAAATTCATTCAACCCTCCTCAAGTTCTCTATTTTGCAGGTGGCATCTGTTTCCTGGTGAACCTCTGACGGATACACTTGCCAATTAAATGAGCATATCCTAAAATTTATTTACCTCATTTGTCAGACACATGACTATAAAAGAGCAACTCGGTAGAAATTCTATCTAATTTTAGCATATCCTACTATATATCCTATATAAGAAGTGTCTTTATATTTTAATAGGTATATCCTTCAAATCAGCTTAAATGTCTCTCCTTCAGACCTGCATTCCCCAATCCACAATCTCTTTCCTAGCATCTTGCTTTTCTTTACTATTGCCTAGCATAGTTTGTGGTTATATACATATTTTTGTTTTCATGTTTCATGCCTACCGCCCACCAGATCTTAAAAGTCATGAAGGCAGCAACTACGTTCATTGTCTATGTTCCATACCAAGGTACCCAGACCATGGCAGATACACAATAAACATGTGTTGAGTAAGTGAGTGAGGGAGAAGAGCCATGTAATTCCTCATGCCAGACACATTTCAACCACAACACCCATTCAGCATGCCCCACCCCCAATATAGGTTGGGATTATCCTCCTCCCTGTTCATTGCCTGCCCAAGTGCAAGCATTCCATAGCACCTTAGGCCCTCATTGGTCTTCTTCCTCCTATGAGTGAGTGCTGCTTTCCCAAAATATTCTAGGAAGCTTCTAGAATATAGAGTCTATGACTTAGATTTATTTTGTATCCCCTATAAAGCATTTTTAAATAAAACCTAGGACTGAACCTGCCTTAGGCCAAGGGCTCTCCAAAATAGCACGAGAGGTATAAGGCTGAAAAAAAGGCTCAAAATCACTTATCAAAAATAACTTACCTAACTGCTGAATGGGTATATAATGTCTAACACTCATACCTCATTTCAATGATGAGCCCTCTATAGCATATAATCAAATATCTTTCAGGCCCTGAATCCCATCCCAGATAATTCAGCCACGTAATTCTTTGCTGAAACAGAAATATCCCTCATTAAAAAATGTTTCTATCCCAACACAGCAAGAACATGAACAGAAGAATAGCAATATTTTAAATCTATTCCAGTATTCTGGAATGTTTGCTACATATGCAGCTGCCATTTGGGAGATCTACTGCAAGATGACCATTTTTCCATTTCTAATAAAGTTTTTGCATTTCTCTTTCAATATTCTCCAGTTAGGAGATCACAGATGCAGTTTTCAGATAAACCCAGTCTCCAGTAAAACAGAGAGGAAAGACAGTGCAAAACTCTGACAGCATTATTGTCCTGGCACAAACTTTTGATTCAGCATAATTTAAATCATGTATTTAATTATCTAATCATTTCAATATAACTATGTTTTGTATTGATTTTTTAAAATCCTCCCTTATTTGCATTGCCTTCTGCCCTTACTGAAAAAAAGTATAAGCAATAATAATTTTAATTGTCAAGCTAATTTTGGAGTTGATGACAAATGTGTGAACTAAAGTACCTATCTAAATATGAGGATACCCTTCTAAAATAGAAACTTGAAACTTCCAGGAAAATCTATGGGGAAGTTTATTATATTACCTTTGTTTTATCTTCGTGTTTCTTACAAATGTGCACTTTTAGGGGAGAAATTAACTCTGCTTAATCTGCCTTAGATACAATCTGGCTTCTTTGAGAAACTTGTAGACGGAACTGACCAGACTTAAGCACACTTTGGGTTCATCTGTCTTGCTTTGCAACATAACATCCACAAAAAGCATTCTTGCAGCCTATCAAAGTTAGATGCTGTTTAAACATTCCTTGAATTATTTCTTACCCCAAATCATACAGTACGAGGCAAATGCTCAAAAACCAAAAGGTAAAGTTGCCCAGACAAAGAAAAGTCAATTCTAAAAGTCCTTTTTGTTTTCTAAAAAGGTTAAAATCACAAGTTCAACATGTGATAATACATAGAAGATTGATAGACTGTGTATATAAACATGGCAACAGAGAATACCAAGAGCTGTCCATCCCATCATGACACTGCTTAAAATTGGCCATGTTTGAACTCTCAACACACTTGGTGAACTTCCGGTAAGCTCTACCAATCATAATTAACCACTAATGAAATTTTACTAGGAAAAAAATTACAAGCTATATTCAAAATCTCTTTAAGTCTGAGGGAGCCAACTCCATGAAAATGATTGCCTTCCTATATAAGAGACTGCCACAGAGTGGCTCAGAAACAAATCTGTCCCCAACAGCTAATAATTCACCTATTATCAAACCCTCTAGAATCATAATACCTCAGTCCCAACTGTGAGCCTGCAAATATGTGACAAAACAATTGATGAATTGTAGCAACCAACCCAATTGGTAATATGCCTTGGGATTTGGGAACTCCGCCCACCCTATGTGTGAGAAGAATTTATGAAGATAACATGACATGCTGATATATTTTTACAGCTTAAACAAGATATTCCATGCCATTTTTGAGCACCACACATAGTTTATCAATATAACTCTTAAGACCTTTATCCCCTTTAGTTTCTTTGCTGCTGCATATAATATAATTATCAAAAAGGTTAAGACTGACGAGTGGAAGCATTTGAACCCTAGACGGAAGCTCTTTTTTCCCCTTTCTTTCTCTATTTTTGTTGTGTTCGTCGGTTCATTTTGACTTTGGTTGTTTTTGCTGCAATTGCCCTGATACAATCTTCAGCCATA